ATATGAATATTTGTATTTGTTGTTTGTTTGTGCAGACTGGAGGCCTAAATAACGAGTACGCTTTCGGAAGTAGAAAGTTGGAGAATGGCAGCATGAGTTCTGAATTTGATAATCAGCCGCAACCCACAAACTTTGCTTCAAATGCTGCAAGTGCTGTGACAGTAACTATGATGGATGAAAACACAGCGATAGCTCTTACTGGCAAGGAAGGTGCATCATATGACGTGCATCTCATGACTGAACCATATGGTGTTCCTTGCATGGTGGAAATATTTCACTTTTTGTGTTCTTTGCTGAACGTTATTGAGAATACGGAACTGGGTCCTAGATCAAACACTATAGCATTTGATGAAGACGTACCCCTTTTTGCTTTAACTTTAATCAATTCAGCTATAGAACTTGGAGGGCCTTCTATTCACCGTCACCCAAGGTTGCTAAGCTTAATTCAGGATGAGCTTTTTCATAATCTGATGCAATTTGGTTTGTCAATGAGTCCACTCATACTTTCAATGGTGTGTAGCATTGTTCTCAATCTTTATCATCATCTTCGTACAGAACTCAAATTGCAGCTAGAAGCATTTTTTTCTTGTGTCATTTTGAGACTTGCACAAAGCAGATATGGGGCTTCATACCAGCAGCAAGAGGTAGCCATGGAAGCCCTTGTTGACTTCTGCAGGCAAAAGACATTTATGGTTGATATGTATGCTAACTTTGATAGCGACATAACTTGCAGTAATGTCTTTGAAGACCTTGCTAATTTATTGTCAAGAAGTGCATTTCCTGTAAACTGTCCATTGTCTGCCATGCATATTCTTGCTTTGGATGGTCTTATTGCTGTTATACAGGGAATGGCTGAAAGAATAACCAATGGATCTGCAAACTCAGAATATTCTCCAGTGAATCTTGAAGAGTATATTCCATTCTGGATGGTTAAATGTGAAAATTATGGTGATCCAAATCATTGGGTTACTTTCACCCGCCGAAGAAAGTACATAAAGAGAAGATTGATGATTGGTGCTGACCACTTCAATCGTGATCCTAAGAAAGGTTTGGAGTTTCTCCAGGGAACACATCTCTTGCCTGACAAACTTGATCCCCAAAGCGTTGCTTGCTTTTTCAGATACACTGCTGGGTTGGATAAGAATCTTGTTGGTGATTTTCTTGGAAATCATGACGAATTTTGTGTTCAGGTTCTTCATGAATTTGCTGGAACATTTGATTTCCAGGATATGAACTTAGATACAGCCCTTCGATTATTTCTGGAGACTTTCAGATTGCCTGGAGAGTCACAAAAGATACATAGGGTGCTTGAAGCTTTCTCTGAGAGATACTATGAACAGTCGCCACATATCCTAGCTAACAAGGATGCTGCCCTTGTGTTATCATACTCAATGATAATGCTTAACACAGACCAGCACAACGTGCAGGTTAAAAAGAAGATGACGGAAGAGGATTTTATCAGGAATAATAGGCATATAAATGGTGGCAATGATCTTCCTCGAGAATTCCTATCAGAACTTTATCATTCAATTTGTAAGAATGAAATCCGTACAACCCCCGAACAAGGTGTTGGGTTTCCTGAAATGACACCAAGTCGATGGATCGATCTAATGCATAAGTCAAAGAAAACTGCTCCGTTTATTGTATCTGGTTCCAAGGCTTACCTTGATCATGATATGTTTGCCATAATGTCAGGGCCAACTATTGCTGCGATCTCTGTTGTATTTGATCACGCCGAACATGAAGAGGTATACCAAACATGTATGGATGGATTCTTAGCTATTGCTAAGATTTCTGCTTGCCATCATCTTGAAGACGTTCTTGATGATCTGGTAGTGTCACTTTGTAAGTTCACTACACTTTTAAACCCATCGCAGGTTGAGGAACCAGTCCTTGCCTTTGGAGATGACATGAAAGCAAGAATGGCAACTGTAACAGTATTCACTATTGCAAATAGGTATGGTGATTACATACGCACAGGTTGGAGAAATATTCTGGATTGTATCTTAAGATTGCACAAGCTAGGTCTTCTTCCTGCCCGTGTTGCCAGTGATGCTGCCGACGAGTCAGAGCTTTCTGCTGAAACTGTGCATGGCAAGCCTATTGTGAATTCTTTATCTTCAGCTCATATGCAATCTATTGGCACACCAAGGAGATCCTCAGGATTGATGGGTAGATTTAGTCAACTCTTATCTCTTGACACTGAGGAGCCAAGATCACAACCTACTGAACAACAACTTGCTGCTCATCAGCGCACTCTTCAAACAATACAGAAGTGTCACATTGACAGCATATTTACTGAGAGTAAATTTCTGCAAGCTAAATCTCTCGAACAGCTTGCAAAAGCGCTCATTTGGGCCGCAGGTCGACCTCAAAAAGTGAACAGCACACCAGAGGATGAAGATACAGCAGTTTTCTGCCTGGAGTTGCTGATTGCAATCACTTTGAACAACAGGGATAGAATAGGTATTCTTTGGCCCGGTGTATATGACCACATATCCAATATTGTTCAGTCAACTGTAATGCCATGTGCCTTAGTAGAAAAGGCTGTGTTTGGACTGCTTAGGATTTGCCAGCGGTTGCTCCCATACAAGGAAAACATTGCCGATGAACTTTTGAGATCGTTACAACTTGTCTTAAAGCTTGATGCCCGGGTTGCTGATGCTTACTGCGAACAGATTACTCAGGAAGTCAGCCGCCTTGTGAAGGCAAATGCTTCTCACATAAGATCCCAGTTAGGATGGCGTACAATTACATCACTACTTTCCATCACTGCTAGGCATATTGAAGCATCTGAGGCTGGGTTTGATACACTTCTTTTCATTATGTCAGATGGTGCCCACTTGCTTCCAGCTAATTATGTTCTCTGTGTAGATACTGCAAGGCAGTTTGCTGAGTCTCGTGTTGGCCAAGCTGAGCGATCTGTGCGGGCACTAGATCTAATGACAGGGTCTGTTAATTGCTTGTCCCGGTGGACTAGCGAGGCTAAGGAGACAATGGAGGAGGAGCAAATGTCTAAGTTGTCAAAGGATATTGCAGACATGTGGTTGATACTTGGACAGGGTCTAAGGAAAGTGTGTTTAGACCAGAGAGAGGAGGTTAGAAATCATGCTTTGTTATCTTTGCAGAAGTGCTTGACAGGAGCAGATGACATTTATCTCCCGTATGGTAAGTGGCTAGACTGTTTCGATCTTGTGATCTTCACCGTGCTTGATGATCTTCTTGAGATTTCACAGGGACACTCCCAGAAGGACTACCGCAATATGGAGGGCACCCTTATCTTAGCAGTGAAGCTCCTGTCCAAAGTTTTTCTTCAATCACTCCCTGTTTTATCACAATTAACAACCTTCTGCAAGCTATGGTTAGGTGTACTGACCAGAATGGAAAAATATATGAAGGTGAAAGTTAGGGGGAAAAGAAGTGAGAAGCTTCAAGAAACAGTGCCCGACCTACTTAAGAACTCTTTGCTTTCTATGAAAATGAGAGGTATACTGGCCCAGAGGAGTGCATTGGGTGGTGATAGTCTTTGGGAATTAACTTGGCTTCATGTGAATAACATTTCACTCTCATTGCAACTTGAGGTATTCCCTGAGCAGGACTCAGAACATTTGCAGCACAAACAGGGTGAATCAGTAGGAGGCTTGGCACCTGAAGAAAAGGTTTCTGTCCCTTCAACTGGAATCACAAGCCTTGAAGATACCGGTTTTGTTGGTTAATGAGATTCAATGTTGTTTCCATTTGAATGGGTTTTTCTGCTCATACTCGATACACACCGATCCCTGAAGTTAAAATACTGATTATTCAAAATACTGTGAATCATATTCAGTTGTTAATTTTGGTTTGCTAATGGTAGATGCAGATATATTACAAGAATTCTCAGGCAAAGATTTTTAAGTCTGTCTAAAATCTAAAATCACATCTCCATTTACGGTCTGGCATTTCCACTTTCCCCGCTTTCTTAGAAGTTTTCTCTTAAGAGTCACTTAAATCAGGTTTGTTAGTTTGTTAAGTAGTTAACTGTGTTGTAACCAAAATCACATTTTCACCTGTCTGTCTGGCATCTCCAATTTATCCCGCCTTCCATAGAAGCTTCTTGTTGTTAAAAGTTAGTTGAATCAGGTTTTTTAGTTTGTTTAGTTAACTGTGCTGTAACCGTGAGAGTACTACCTGATATGAAACATCTCTGTATATGTATATAAAGGAGTTCATATTGAAATAAAACAAGTGCAACATTTTTCAGTTTTCTGATTCAAATCCTAACACCTGTTCCTGTAACTTTGATTAATATACTTATTACAGCTTCAGAAAGATTTCAGCTCTGTAGCGGGAAATATTGGGCTCCCTTTTCTATCATCGGGGCCGTGCCAGGGATAGCTAACCCTTAATTTCCAAAACTATTTTGTACAGAACCTTAATTCTCTCTACTGCAGGGGTTATGACAGCTTAATTTTACAGGCATTCATATCTTCGCCGAGTGTGATAAACCCTGATACGTTAATGCAATGATTTTTGATAAACCCTTTGTGATGTATTTAGTAGTTGCATACCTATTTTTTCCTCTTAAATCAATTAAGCACTCCAAGCTCACACCATATAACAGCCAAGAAAGACTGGATTTTTCATATTCTATCTATTGTGATCAAACAATTATAATCCTAGCATTCAATTAATGTTTCTCATTATATCTGAGACTAATTGCATTCCAGCATTAAACAATATGTTCACAAATCATAGGGATTGATCATAGTTTTAAAGCACATGCCTAATGAATGAAGAGGAAAGCAAAAATATTGAAGTGAAGAGAAAAACAGTACATGTTTCTATACCACTACTGCAATACAAAGAAGGGTGAAACCTCCCGCGATATTTATCGAAAGCTGAGATTATATAATCATTTTGGCAATTATATATGTACATAGGTGAAAATTTTAGTGATCAATCTTATAAAACTAACTCAACTTTTATATTAATCTATACTGACTAACAAAAACAGATGATTTCTAAGTAGATATTGTTTCTTGAGGTCTGCACTTCCTAACTCTGATATGCACATTGCCATCCTTTATGCTTCCACCATTCATAAATTGGCAGCAATGCCTGCGTGGTACCTGATTTAAAACACAGTCAAATCAAAATATCAAATTAAAATCCATACTTAAACTCCAATGCTATAGAAATTTCAATACTATTCAAGCATATTAGCCTTAATGAATAAGAATTTCAAAATCCAATGATGTTTTGATTTTGAGACTTTATATTGATCTTATCTATTGACGTAAACACTTGTGAGACTATTTGAGAGAGAGAGAGAGAGAGGATAGTACATTGTTCCAATATTCTGAATCCAGCCTCAAGGCAGAAACTTTAATTCCCCGAATTTCTCCATCTGCTCTCTTGCAGTTCTTTGCTTCCTGGTCAACAGATCTCTTATAGGTCATTACACTTCCGTCCCCCACCTTTTTAGCCCGATCCAGGAAAAATATAGACGGTTGCTCACATACATCAGGGTTCAACCATCGAGTATTAAACGTGAAAGGACCATCGCTCCAACTTCTCCATGTTTTAAACGTCTGCAAGGGCATCTGCAGATCTGCGGCACTCACCAACAGTGAATAGATTTGTATTGTGTAGCCCCACGAAATAGATATTGACCATTTTCGGCTATGGTCATAACAAATACTTTGCTGCACTATCCTTGCAGGGTCAAGCTGGTATGCACTGATGAGCTTTCTCAATGAACTCATTTGAGTTTGGTTCGGAAACACTGAGTTCAATTGATCAAGGTGATGAAGCGACACAAGTGGTGCCAAAGGGTGCGCCGCTAAAATACCATATGGATTCCCTTGAACATCAAACTGAAACAAAAAGACCCTTAAAACAGTAAATTTCTTATCGATAAAGAGAACATTTTATCGTAATTAACGTGTATGTTTTGTGTATGTATACCTGATGGAATCCGCTTTCTCGGGTAAGCGGTACTCCTAATTCCTTTATACAAGCCCAAAGTCTTTGATCAGAACCATAAAAATAAAAGTATCTGTGAAGACAAGAATCCATAATATTGGCTAGTCTAGCTGCTAATGCATAACTAATTGCAATACCACCACCACCAAAAGCCATATCAAAAGAATGCATCACATCTTGTTCCACACTCTCAGAATTTCCACCAATATAATAAAATTGACTATGATCATATTTTCCCAACACAGTAACTAAATTCTCCGGAAAAAACACTGTGTCATCGTCTCCCATTACAAACCACCTAACATTTGGCAAACCGAGTCTAAAGCTTTCATAAACTATCCGTGCTATCCGAACAGCGGACGCAGAGTGTGTGTGCTTAAACCTGGCCCATCCCTTTGAGATTTTATATGGAATTAACTTATCATCCAGCTTCAAATTCTTCGGTCTCTTGTCAAGCCAAACATAACCTCTACAAGTGTTTGGATTCCACCAAATCTTCCCGTAGTTGCTACGGCTATGCCACGTGTTCGATGAACCAGCAATGCCGAATACAATATGTGAGATGTTTGTTGCTTCAGTGTCAATTTCAATGATTGAATCATTCTGTATAATATGTAAATGCTCCGGTAGTGGAAACCATCGGTCCGGTTTAGCGAATGTTGACTGGATAGCAATTGCTATGGATCCTATAAGACAGAACAGTATGCCAATCTTCATTGCCATTGAAACTAAGTCAACTAGTTTTTCTGGTATAAAAGTTAATCTTATTATTCTAAGAGGATCATGACAAGTCTCTAACCGATCTGGAACCTTCATCTTCGTCTTCTTCGCCCTGTCACATTTGAAAATTGAAATAAAAGAATCAGCAAGAATTCAGATACATGATTATAACTAATCATAGAGAGCATTTCAATTAGTTAAAGTAACAATAAGAATCAATGAAAGAGTGTATTTGATCTTGCATTCTTTGTTAGCTGAAGAATCTGTATCAGTAGATGCACCAACCAACTCTTATTAACCAAGTAGAAAGTGCAGAGACAAACAGAAGCCAAAAAAGGAATTAAAATAATAATGGATGTTACTTAAACATGGCATAAAGCTCCAAATTTATCATAAAAAGAAAGACGCACAAAAATAGACATATGAGGCATGAGAGAGACACAGAACTAAATTTCCAACAATCACGGAAAACAATCAGAGTCTTACATCGTACCTTTTTTATACGATGATGATGATGATTCTGCCTGTCCTCTTTGCATACAAGCTAAGATCTTCTTGATTGTAACCTCCTCTGTCTCTGCAATGTAAAAATAAAATAAAAACATCAATTTTTTTAAAGAAAAATCCCACAAAAAAGGTATAAACTTTAACATAAAGAAAGAAAATAACAATGACCCAGATGAAGAATATGAAGAAGAAGATGATTACGATGTCGAAGATCAAGAATAGAAAAAACGGGTGTATGATCAGCGTACTCCATCAGCAGAATTAGGTTTATTCTTCATTTTTCAGAATTTTTTTAATCTTTCTGGTAAAGTTTGTTGTTCTGCAGAATCCTTAAATTGATTCTGAGTAATCATTGGCCGTTTAAGTTGGTTGCATATAAAGGAGAACCTCGCACGTTTGAACACAGTGTATAGCAAATTTTGTTGGTACACTTGTATTTATGGAACATATAAGGTCATGTCTTCAATGCAGTATCAGAAATTTCAACAACAAAATAAATGAAGAAAGTTTCATTATAAAATGTTTGTTTGTTTTTTTAAATATTTTTAAATATTATTTAAATCCATAATATTAAATTATTAATCTAGTACTACTATTAAGTTAAGAAGTTGTTGTCCACTAGTTGTAACATAGGGTTGATATATTTCCGACAGATGGAAGTTGTTTCTAGTATCAGTGGTCATAATCATGTCCAAGTGTCAATTTACATACATTTAGTCTATGTTTTTTAATTTCAACTTTCATCATCAAACGTGCTATATGCTCCACTCCATCTTAATCAAAATCAAAATCAAAATTCAAAACCAAAATTTGAAATTTGAAACATCACACATGGTCTGCATCAAAAAATAGATTAAAGATGATGTACTTAAAGTGGGAATAATTAATTAATTAATTAACTAACGTGAAAAGAAATGTGATTAGAGTTTGGTGGCCCATAAAATAAGGTGGGTGGTCCAAATAGAGTAGGAGCAGTAATGGTGAGAGTGAGAGTTGGTGGCAATTCATTGGGTGACTTACTGCCACCACCGATTCTTCTATGTCCAATGAGTCCCACCATGCACGACACGACTTGTGAGTCACAAGTAAAAAAATATTGGACAATCATTTCAAACCACGTACTCATGTGGTACTATTTTCATTTTAAAGATTCCTTCTTTACTCTCCTATTTAAAATGACCGGAGGCCTCTTGTATACGGATTAAAAAATATAATAAAATCATTATATAATATTATGTTTTTATTAAATTAGTTTTATTAATATGTTATAAGTAGTATATAAAATGATAATTAAATGATACAATTAAATAAATAATAATAATTTTAATATTAAAAAATGAGAATAACAATAATTTTAAAACAATTTTTTTCCTCAAAATAACAATCATTTAAAAACAGAAGGAGTAATATATAAGGCACAATATTTATAATTTTTTAATGTAATTAATTGGCTAAAGGAGAAAAAATAATGGAGAGCCAAAATGATTAACACAAATTAAATTAGAGAGCCAAAATGATTAACAAAAGGCAAAGGCAAATTGAGGAGGAATCTAAATGATTTAATTAAATAAATACTTCAACATGTGCTTACAATAACTAAATAATATTTATAATGGTGATCGTTCATGACCAACCGTAGCCCCAATGATAAATAGATCTAATTATGCTTATTCACCTATTGGTATGAAATTTCAACATCATAGATTTAGTATTAGGAAAAAATAATTCAGAAAGTACTTAAAGAAATGATGCTAAATAAAGCATTTCGACAAATGGGATTCTAATTTATGAGTGTTGAAATAGTCATGTTGAACTAAAGTTGAGGACTTAGAATATTCTCTCAGAGTTTGTCTTTAAGAGTTCGTCTATGTTCTCAAAAATTCGACAAAGATTGCATGATCGATAATGGCAGTTGGAAGCGAATCATGGTGATCAGATCATGTAACTGTTTGTTAGTCTTATCCATATAGCAACACATGTGAAGGAAAGTCAGAAAAACAAAGCCTTACAATTTAGATACGTGTCAATTGCTAGGAATACAGTTGTTATAGGCAATTATGTATATACTACTATATATAGAGATTTCAGTGTTAGGATTCATGGTGACAAATCATTACAAAAAAACTCTATACACTCACTCAAAGTACCAGACAATAGCAAGAAACGAGTCTGTGAGAAAAATGTATGACTTTGCATACCATTTTTTTATATACTTAAGTAATTTCTTGTATTTCTTGTCCTTCACATTTTTACCCATACATTTACTTGTTTTTGTCATCAATTCTACAAGGATTTTGACTTTGTCGAAATCCCTTACTTCTTTACAAGTTCAGTCTTTATTTTCTTACAAATTTGGAATTTATGTTATATTTACAACAAATAGTTAAAACACTCGTTCTTAAAAATTAATGCACATATGTTCAAGGATTCACTAGTCGATCCTTCAAGTAAACTTTTTAAAAGAGACTAGCAGTTGATTACTAAAATTAAAGGTAAACAACACGCCCAGTGAGACGCTACAAAATTGTATGTTCACAAGTTTTATGTTTTTTCTTTTACAAACTATTCTTTATGCATGAAATGTTCTTGATATCTGCGAGTGTATGCATTTAAGAAGTGAAAAAGACTTGCCTAAATTGACACGCCCTCCTACAGATAATACTAATCCTAATTCACAAAACAATCCTTAAAATGCAGTAGAATAATCAGTCAGACCGATGGTTGGAGAGGTAGTTATTTCAACGCCTATAAGAACAACTGCTTATGTGGCTTCATCGACACCAGTTCTCTCAACACCGACAAAGGGGCTATTCCTCCACCACAACCAGAGAGTCTCCCATTTAACCCTACTATTGTAAGACAACTTTGGAAGACCCCATGATGCCATTTCTTCTAAGTTTTACACTTCCTACAGGAAACAGAGATTACTAATATGGTATGCCAATAACAATGATAATAGGTCTTCATTCAAATGCGTCGATTTATTCAGATAATACAATGGTTGTTGTGCCATAATTGAACCCATATCTTGCATCAAGATCAATAATTAATAATCCTAGTGAAATGACTTTGCTACTAGGAGGATCAAATTACGCTCTCCAAGCGACTTCGACTTTGAATACGACATCTCTTATGTCAAAGAGGCAAAAAATGGATGAAAGTAACCACGTAATTGTTAACATGTTGGCCTGACATATTTGTACGGTGTTCAACCTTTTAATTCAGAACGCTAACCAAAGTTATGAACTAATGGCTAATCAGATGGGTCGAATAGCCGATTTATTTGGCGCCTCTCAGGACCAAGCGAGACCAACTCCTCAAATCTCAAATGCCAAGCAAGTGGAGACACCTGAAAAATGGGCAAACCCCTGTTAATAAAGGTCAACAATAAGGGGGACTTTGACACACCGATCCTCCCGCACATAGAGAGGATGGGGAATACATAGGCCAAAATAACCCAACGCCAATAATGGTTAACAGAAACCAAGACGCCGACCAAATACTTAGAAACGTCCAACAAAATAACTCTAGGGGCAAAAAAATATAGAAAATATGGTTGAACAAATCTTTGTGTCACATTTATCAGAGTATGTTTGACAGACAGAACTCCCTAGAGGATGGAAATTCACCAAATTTGTTGGCGAGACAAATGAGTCTACGGTCAAACATGTTGCCAGGTATCAGACTGGGGCAAATGATATAACCAATAATGAGAATTTGAAGATGAATTATTTTCCAAATTCTGTTACAAAAAATGCTTTTACATGGTTCACAACCCTCCCTCCCCATCTCAGGCATACTTGGAATCAACTAGAGAGAGTGTTCCATGAAAAATTCTACAGGGGCTAATAAAAAATTAGCCTTAAGGAATTGGCCAACGTTGGTCGCAAAATCTATGAGTCAACTGATGACTACTTGAATAGGTTTAGACTGCTCAAAGCAATGTACTTTACGCAAGTCCCTGAACATGAGTTGGTAGAAATGGCCGCACGGGGTTAAACTATTCTATTAGGAAAAAGTTAGACAACCAGTACTCAGGGACATTACTCGATTGGCGGATATAGTTCACTAAGTTGAACATTTGAAAATGGAGAAAGCTAGGTCAAATAAGTACAATAAAAAAGAAAAGGTAGCTTATGTAGAGATAAATGATTATTTAGAGTCAGACTATTTCGACGAAGGCGTCGAAGAGAGCGAGGTCCATGTAGAAGAACTAAATCTTGGGCCTCCATATGTTTGTAAACTATTAAAACTATCGAACAAGAATGATCTCGTCGAACCTAGCAAGAATGGGAAGTTTGTACCCAAAACATATACTTTTGATATAACAAAGTGTGATGAGATTTTTTATTTGTTGGTTACTGATGGGCAGATAATAATGCCTACGGTCCTAACAACTCCCCCATTATAATAAAGGAAAAAGAGAGATTTTTGTAAGTACCATAATATTTAAGGCCATAAAACTTCCCAATGTGTGCGTTTAAGGGACTTAGTGCAAAAGGCGCTTAAAGAAGGCAGTCTGCAATTCGGAGAAAAACCAAAAGCTTCGATGCAAGTGGATTCCATCCCCCTTCAAGTCGAAGAGGAAA